CTTTTAACTTAGCACAATTGATTTTCAGGCATTTGAGCAGTTGACTGAGCAAACTTGTTGTGCAAGACATGAAACTTGGCATGAATGATCTTGAGAACATATTAAGACCATGGAAAATATTTGAGACCTTTGGAGTTCATCCATCTTGATGAAGATGGAAACCCTAGTTTGAGGTTCATTGTCTTAGGAGGGCATTTGTCTGATCAATCCTCGGGCGTCCTTGAGCATGTTGAGGATTTTAATGAGCATATGTTGAGTAAAATGAGAGGGAAAATTTTGGGGTACAACAGTTAGCGTCAAGGGTACCTGAAGACTCTTCTTTCACTAATAAATATGGTCGACTCCTCAGCTTGACTACCTCCAATTTCCAAGAAGAGCTGATGTGCGCGCTCTTCCAATTCTTCGATTCCATGCATCATTGCTTCACTTTCCCTCACTATCAGTTAGTGTCAACACTATAAGAGTTCTCTTTGCTGTTAGGAGTTCCCGTGCTTGATCAAGCACGGTTCACCGGTTTAGAAGGGATTCCAAAACCTGAAGTCATTGTCAAAGCCCTGCATCTGAAGAGAGCCGACATTGTAGCAAATTGGGAGACAAGAAGCAGAGTTCAAGGGTTCCTATCCAAGTTCTTATTGGAGAGGGCTCGTTCATTATAGGAAGATTTAGATTTTCAAGCCTTAGAGGATGTCCTGACCCTTCTCATCTTTGGTTTGGTTCTATTTCCCAACTCGGACCAATTCATAGATGTGAATGCCATCACAGTCTTTCTCTCTCGTAATCCTATACCTACCTTGCTGGGAGACATTTTACATTGTTTCCATACCCGTACCATAAAGAAAATAGGTACTCTCTTGTGTTGTATTCCCCTACTTGCCAAGTGGTTCACTTAGCACTTACCTCTATCAACATTGAAGAACGAGCAAAGATTGACATGGTCTCAAAGGATGATGTCCCTCACCCACTCTGATATCCATTGGTGTTCGAGATCCTTGGAGGATACTTATATCATTGACCATTGTGGGGAATTCCCTAATATCCCTCGGCTTAGAATTAGGGGAGGCATCACTTACAACCCTTGCTTAGCCCTGCGACAGTTTGGTTACGCTCGAAGAGATGGTCCTCATGACATGCTCATCCAAGGAGTGGTATTTAACTACGAGAGCGACGATCAAGGCTACCGTCAGAGGTTTGCGAGAGCTTGGAAAATGGTAAATAAAGCAGATAGTGGGACACTGGGACGCAAGAATTATATTCCCTTTGAACCTTACCTTAGGTGGGTACGAGCTCGTGCTCAGAAGCTCATGATGCCTTACCCCTCCATCCTACCAGTTATCGTGGAGCCTGTTGCTGAAGGAGAAGTCCCATATACTGCCCTCCATCCCAACATGCCTACTTCTCTTGAAGACTTACAAAAGGGTTGGATTAAGTTAAAAGAAGAACGAGACACCTTCAAGGCTCAATTATACGCAAGCGAGAAAAGGGTTTTGGAGCTTACAAAGCAACTACACGAAGAGCAAAGCTTGAACGCCTACCTTGCACCGAAGAGGATGCGTTCGAACTTTTCATCTTATAGATTTACTTTGTAAACCCAAGGGGCACGTTGTAATCATGTTGAACTAATTAATGCAATTTAACGTTTGTTCATTCTTTGTCTAGACAAATTTAAATTTCATAAATCCTTGAAAACATTGCATCAACATGACATGCATCATATCATGACAGGTTTCTCCCACACAAGTCTCTCATCTGCTTACTGTTTATTTCAGTAGAGATGGCCCTAGAACAGACTATCAAGGACATTCAAATTCAAAACACTCAACTTCAAGAGATGTTCTTGAACCTATCTAAGGGACAAGAAGAGGTGAAGGCGCTCCTCACTAGGGGCATGATCATGGGAAATACTGATGATGACAAGGATAACCAGCTGGAGCGGCTACAAACCGAGATAGCCATAATGAAGGTCCAAATGATGGAATAATTGGTGGGCCAGTTGGCTCTTATCCAAAACCTGGCTCAAGGACAAGAAGAGCTAAGAATCCTTGTCAACCAACTTCATCAAGACGGTTGCAACCGTATGAAACAAACAGTCAAGATTGGGAATCAAGTCACTACTCGTCCGCCCATGAGACAAGAAGTTGGTTCAGGGGAGAACAGACCTTTCTGAATTGCTGCCACGTCACGGACCCAACAACCACCCCGCCAACAAGAACAGAGTAATCGGAGTAAACGGGTCCCATCTGGTAGACAATTTACCAAACTCGACATGCCAATATCGCAAATCTTGCAACACTTGCTGAAGCTGAATTTGGTCACGTTAAGGGATCCTCATCAGAATCCCAATACCCCCGCTCCTAGCTATCATCCTAATGCAATATGTGCATACCATTCCAATAATCCTGGGCATGATACAAATTACTGTTGGGCTTTGAAAAATAAGATTCAAGACTTGATCGACGAAGGAGTGCTGGAGTTTACTCAAGACGGTCAGACTGAACTCTTCTGCCATCCCTCAAAGGCTCACCACCTGAAGTGACGAGTTCAGACAAGGAGGCTTTTGTTCATTTGAATTTTCAGTTGTAATTTCTTTGTTTATTCAAACATTTATCTATTAATGTCGAACTTTGTCAATATATAAAGTATGTGGGGATACCAAATATAAAATATAGGTTCACATGTTAAATTCTTCATTTCAATGGACTTTGTGTCAATGGGCCATAAACACATAACTTGAACAGGTCTAAAGACATTGGAATAAATAAAGGAAATTTCTTTCTTCACCCTTACAACTTCTTAACTATTTTTGATGAAATTTCGTTTTTATCTTTAGAATTTAGAGATGTATCTCCAAACGTAATAAGTTTTTTTTTATGATTTCGGAGATATATTTTCGAAGTTGCGAAATTTAATTTTTTCGGAGGTGATTTCGAAAATGTATTTTCGAAAGCACAAATTTTCATTTTTTTGAATGAATTTGGTTGTACATTTCTGAAATAGACCAAAAATTTTTAACTTGTTTCTCCAAAACAACCCCTTATTTTTTTAATAAAAAACAGGATGTTTTTCGAAAATAAACTTCAAAAATATTTTGTGATTGTTTAAAAAAAATAAAATATATCAACTATATTAATTGAATTATCTTAATTAATAATTTTAAATGCATTTAAAAGATAATATTCGACCAAACTAATTAATTACTATTTAACTTTAATGCGTAAAATAATACATAGAAATTAATTTTTGTGATTAAACAATCACTTAAAGTTAGGATTTTTTAAATATATCAAAATTAAAATAAGAAAAGTATAATACCTAATAATAAAATTTTGACACCTTATTTTTTTAAAAGCAAATCATTTAAAAAAGTTGTTGAAGCATACAATTCATCTATGAAACAAATATTTATAACTAATCAATTATTTAATAAAATTTAGGTTTTTTTTTAATGTTTTCTAAATGCAAATGAAATACCGTACTATAACATTTAATATTGTCATGGATATTTTAAATACCGTACTAAATTTATAACTATAAATACATTAAAAGATAATATTCTACTTTTCTATTTTGTCCAAAATACTCATTAATTAATTTCTACACTAAATTCAAGATGTATACATTTTTTATTATAAATAAGATTGTATAATTAATATAATTGATATACTTTGATTTAAATTTTTTTAACACTTTATTAATTTGAATATATATTCGATTTATTATATATATTATGCGTGTTTGAAAATAGATTACCAAAATATACAAAGAATAAAATCAAATTTTTAATGTGTTCAACGATTACTTCATAAAGTGGATAAAGTAATGCTCTAATTTATAATTAAAAACATTGAAATAAAATGACACTATCTCTTTCTGCCTAACTAGAAGTTCTAGTTTTAAATTTAAATTTTTTTGAAAGTAACTATTCTGCTTGTCTTGCTAAACTAGAAAACGTTGACTTCAACACAAACATTAATCTAGATTTCTGTATTATCCAATTCTTGGCTTTGTTGAGAAAGTAAAGGGTTGGAGACCAGAATATTTTTTTTTGTTAGACTATTTGTAATAGAAATGTTGAATAAATTTTTCAATAGTTGAATTGTTTTAATAGATTGTTGAATAAGGTGTTGAATGTGATATGAATTAATTTGTGTTAAAAGTATTTAACATTTTAATGAAAAATGAGTGGTGACCACTTATAATATTTTGCAAAATATAATTGTTTATTGTGATTGTTTATATTTTCATCTCACCTAAATTATTTGGAGTCAATTATTTTATAGAAAGTCAATTTTTTATTCATTTTTATTTTCACCAAAATTTATCATCTTTTTTGTCTATAAATAGAGCTTTGATTCATTTGATTTGGACAAAGAAAAAAAATCTATTTTTTCTCTCTAATTTTTCTATTTAGCCTATAATAAATTATTGTTTGTAGCTCTAAACAATTTTTTAGTGAAATGAATCCCAACAATAACCCTCTTAACACTCAAAGTTCTACTAATTATCCTTTCAACTATCCAAATCCCAACTATATATTTCAAAATCAATCTTCCAACCAACAAGGTCTCCAAAATATACCAAATTTCATAATGTTGTCATCTAATCCAAACTATCGTCCATATTATAGATCTATGATGTCATATTCATCTCAAGCACCACCTTATTATTCTTCTACTCCAATGGGAAATGAAAATGTTCCTAATGTTGGACTTGATGAATTTCCTGATTTTTCTACACAAACGACTCTTGGTGGCATGAGTGGTGGTCATGGAGCCACTCCAAATGCGGAGGATTCAATTCATGTTCGTCAGAAAAGCCCCAAATGGACCACTGATCAAAATTTGGTTCTAATTAGTGGGTGGATTAAGTATGGAACAGACAGTCTTGTTGGGAGAAACCAAAAAAGTGATTCATATTGGGGTAAAATTGCTTATTACTGAAATGAACATTGCTCATTTGATCCTCCCCGTGATGGAGCTGCATGTAGAAATCATTACAATTACATGAACAAAATACTTAATAAATGGATATGTGCTTATGATAACGCTAAGCGTATGCAAAAAAACGGGTGGTCGGAGAATGATGTATTGGCAAAAGCGCATGAATTATATTCAAGTGGTAAGAGTGGACATTTCATTTTAATATCAGAATGGCTCGCTCTCCGTGATCAACCACGTTATGGTAGTCAGGTAGGAGGAAATAGTGGATTTGTAGGTAGTGGATCTAAGAGAGCCCACGAGAGTGATGCAAGTGATTCCAACTCCGTAGAATCTAGTGCTCGCCCAATGGGGAGAGATGCAGCAAAAAAAAGGTAAAAAAATAAAAGCAATGGCGCAGCCTTGGAATCGGTCAATGAAGAGTGGAATGAATTCAAACAATTTAAGGAGAAAGAGTTAGAACGATTGGATAAAATAGCCATGAGGCAAGAGGAAGCTAACCAATTGTTGAAAGAAAATATTGAGGCTAAGAGGATGAAGATGTTTATGAAGCTAAGTTCAAAGGAGCATCTTGATGACCGGAGCAAAGAGTTGTTGAAAAAGTTGGGTCGCGATCTGTTTGGAAATTAAATGTTGTTAAGTCATTGTTTGTATTTTGTTTCTTATCTACTATTTTCTATATTATCAAATCTTTATCAAGTCATTGTCAAGTCATTGTTTGTATTTTGTTTCTTATCTACTATTTTCTATTTTATCATTTTGTTTCTTATCTACTATTATCTATATTATCAAGACATTGTTTGTCACTTAGTTTCTTGTCTACTATTATCTATATTATCAAGACATTGATTTCTATTTTGTCACTTAGTTTCTTGTCTACTATTATCTATATTATCAAGATATTGATTTCTATTTTGTCATTTTGTTTCTTGTCTACTGTTATTTATATTATCAAGACATTGATTTCTATTTTGTCACTTAGTTTCTTGTCTACTATTATCTATATTATCAAGATATTGATTTCTATTTTGTCATTTTGTTTCTTGTCTACTATTATTTATATTATCAAGATATTTATTTCTATTTTGTCACTTAGTTTCTTGTCTACTATTATCCATATTACCAAGATATTGATTTCTATTTTGTCATTTTGTTTCTTGTCTACTATTATCTATATTATCAAGATATTGATTTCTATTTTATCACTTAGTTTATTATATATTATTAATGTATCAATACCAAAAATATGATATTACTAATCTTATAAATGGAGACTCATTCTTCCATTAATGTACCAATACCAAAAATCTCATATTACTTAAAAACATCAATGGATCCTTCAGAATTTCCCTTTGATATCAAAGCTTACAAAAGGCAGTCTGAAATCGAAGAGAGGTATATCGTCAACCGGTTCAAGGAGCGATGAAACCAAATAGAGGAAGGATATACACTTAATGTTAAGAGAAAATATCTCAATAGAGATCATGCAGCGGAAAACCAAAGACTAATAGAAGACTACTTTGCAGATCAAACTACATATGACGATGCAATATTTCGTTGGCGATTCCGGATGCGAAAACATGTGTTCCTTAGGATCGTTGGGGAACTATCTAGCAGTGACAACTACTTCACCCAAAGAGTTGACGCAATCAAAAAAGAAGATATATCTCCATTAGCAAAGTGTACCACGACCATGCGAATGTTAACATATGGTGTGGCGGCCGATGTGGTCGATGAATACATTAAAATAGGAGGTACAACAACATTAGAGTGCTTGCGTAGATTCTGTAAAGGAATCATATAATTGTATGAGCCAGTGTATCTCAGAGCCCCAACTCAAGATGACTTGTAAAGAATACTACATTTTAGTGAAATACGGGGGTTCCCGAGGATGATTGGGAGTATTGATTATATGCACTGGGAATGAAAAAAATTTCCTACATCATGGGAAGGCCAATTTACTCGGGGAGATAAGGGAACCACCACTGTTATTCTTGAAGCAGTTGCAACTCATGATCTATGGATTTGGCATGCCTTCTTTGGATGTCCGGGCACATTGAACGATATAAACGTTCTAGACCGTTCATCTGTGTTTGATGATGTTGAACAGGGAATAACTCCAAGAGTGAACTTCTTTGTGAATCAACGTCCGTATAATATGACATACTATCTTGCTGACGGTATCTACCATTCTTATCCGACTTTTGTCAAACCAATTAGACTTCCTCAAAGTGAACCAGATAAGTTATTTGCAAAATATCAGGATGGATGTTGGAAGGACATCGAACGTGCATTTGGGGTGTTGCAGGCTCGATTTAAAATCATTCGCGAACCAGCCCGTTTGTGGGACATAGCCGATTTGGCTCTCATCATGAGGTCATGTATCATATTGCATAATATGATTGTTGAGGATGAACGAGATACATATTCTCAATATTGGATAGATTATGATCAATCTGAGGCAAGTGGGTCTGGTACACCGGAGTCATTCTCGACCGAGGTGCTACCTGCATTTGCAAATCATGTGCGTGCTAGATCTGTGATGCGTGATTCAAATGTACATCACGAATTGCAAGCAGATCTAGTCAAACATATATGGGTAAAATTTGGAATGTTTCGTGATGAAATAGATTGTTTGTGAGTTGAGTCTAATGTACTAATTAAGTTATGTGTGTTTCATTTTAAGTGTGTTGTGTGTATTGTATTGTATTTTAAGTTTTTTATAATTACGAATATAAAATTAGAGAAAAAAATTAAAATAAGTTTTTAAATTAAAAAAAAATTAAAAAAATTATTTAACTCTTAATTATTTTAATTTAATTTCAATTGATAATTATTATTAATATATAATCAAAAAACAAAAACATAAAAAAGAAAATAAAAATATGAAATAAAAGTGGTGGGGTAAGGTGTTAAATTTTATTAAATAAAATCATTGTAGTAAGTAAAAGTTGAATGAATGTTGAATTATTAGGTGAAAGAGATATAAGATGATGTTGAGTGTAAAAAATAAAAAAAATGAGTGTTGAATAATTGTATCATCGTAGATAATCTTAGATTGAATTTTATGTAACATGTTCACTATTGCAGTTGCACCTATATTGACCTTCACGCAAAACAATAATTTATTTTTTACTTTCTCTTTGTTTTAAAATATTATTTTTTTAGATTTTCACATTTTTTAAAATATAATTAATTATATAGTTTCAATGATAAAATAAATTTCATTTATTAAAATAACATTATTAATAATATATAGTGAAATAGTCATATAAATTAAAATATAATAAATAAATATAAGTCAATGGAAAAAATAATAAATATTATATTGATATTTTAAAAGAGTAAATAATTTAAGACAAATAAAAAAAATATTTATTATAAAATAGAACGTATACCATTTAAATATATGTTTTACAAAAATAGAGCTTTCCAAGTACTTATGTAATTACCAGATTACATTATTACCACCAGATTACGTTATTACCCCTCAACCTAGTCAAACATGTAGTAATATTTTTGGTCATCTAACACAAGAAAAACTTTGGCTGAATAATTCACATCATCAACTTATAATTATTCTAGCTTTTCTTAAAAAAAGAAACTTGTAATTATTTTATGCAATATCTATAAGTGTCGGTAGAGATAATAAACAGACATATCAGTCTTGTTTAGAGTTCGTAAAAGTTCGAAACAAAAAACAGTTCTGAGATAAATGGATATGATTAAAAATGCATATCAAAACTTTAGTCTATTCCATTCAACTTTGTTTCCAAAAGAAAAAAAACATAGTATAACAAAATAAAATTAAAGATGCAGAACTAAAACTTAATCCATTTCAAAATTAAAAAATTTATTTTAATGATTATGTTGCAAAAAGCAGACATAGTAGATGGCATAGACCATGTCAATATTGTGTAGGATTTGATTGATCTTATATTCATGTCTAAACTTGGAAAAAAAAGGATTTGAAATAATCAAAACTTATCTTTTCATTATAACATCTATTACAAAAGAGAAATATAACATCTAGTATATCAATTTAATCAACTAGGTTTGTGATCCTATAAGATAGCATTTGTGTTTGAAATCACATTACCATCTTTTTTTTCTAAACCCAATTTTTTCTCTATAGGAAAAGAAAAATATAACAGAAAATGGAGAAAAACTTCCTCAATGTAGGGACATACAATCATCTTTAAAACTAAATAAAATTACAAATAGTGTAACAAATTTTATAATTTGGATTATCTAACATAGAGGAAGATCCTCTGGAGGAGCTTCAATGGATTCCAATAGTCCTTCTCCATCCTCTACCAAGAACACAGTTGCCAAACCCCATCCAATATGAACATCCAAGTGACAATGCATAATCCAAACACCTACATACATCACATCAAACAAATTTTTACTCTTAATCCAGTTTAATTGATAGCTTAAAAAAAACATCGAATGAGAAGGGAGCGTATTCGAACACACGATATTTTATTTATTCATTTTTAAAAGGTAAATTCTGATTATTTAACTACTAAAAAAAACTTAACAAGATGTAATTTTGTGGTGACTAAAAATATATTTTATCATAAAAATTATAATACAGACACCTCTGAAAAAATATGTGTCGTGTCAGCGTCTTCAGTGTCTCAAACTGACACTAACACTTGTGAATTAGTATAACTTATTCAATTTTTTCAAATTATTTTTGGTGTCAATATACCAATGTAAGTGTCATATTTCTTCTGATGCAGAGCAAAGTATGGATTGAACTAATGTTACCTGGATTATCAGCAACAAATCTGATAACTGCCCAACCATTAACAGGAACAGCAACAGTGTTCCTCATAGGTGGATCAACAAGGTTAAATTTTGAAGCATCTTTCTTTGGGTCAAAGTTTCCAAATCCTTCAGCAACAATATAAAAATCATAACCATGAAGATGAATAGGGTGATTCTCAGGAGTAACAATACTGGTATCCTGCAAAACAATCTGAATCCTTGATCCAAATCTCAACTTAGTGACTTTAGTCCCTTGAATCGGTTGCCACAACGACCGACTCACGTTACCGGTGTAATCGAATTTCACAGGCGGTTTTGCGGGAAAATCGGTCGTAAAGATACCTTGTACTCCAAGTTTATGAGCCTGCAGGATTGAAAACTTGTTTGGAAGTACAAAAGACACATTGTTCATACTAGAAGTGAACCGTGTCCCGTTTGGTCCTTGACATTGATTCGAATTGAAATTCGATGGACATTTGTTGAGTCCTAATCCAATAGTGAAGAAAAGATCTTCGTCAACTTCATAAGGAACTTCAACTTTCCTCAAACTTCTAAAACTTTTACTAAAGGATGTAACAGTGTTTGTGTCATTATAGTTAGGTAATGAGGGCATAATAGGTTTGATATTTACACCTCCCTTTGCAGGACATGGTGATGATTTGTATTCGAGAATCGCGGTTGTCGTTGTGTTATCGAATGGAGCGTTTTGAGCGGATTGGTAAGCGCGAGCCGCGATGTAGTATTGTGATGGTGGTTGGTCGCTGTTGATGAGAACATCAGTGGTTTGGCCAGGTCCTAACATAAGGACATTGGTTGTGAACGGTTTAACATAAGAAGCATCAGCACCTACTACTGTTAATTTGTGGTTTGCAATTGTGAAGAAAAGTGGTTGGTTTAATGCTGCATTGATTACTCTTATGAGATTTGTTTCTCCTGAATCTATTGGAACAATTGTTGTGCCTGCATAAAATATAGTCATTGTTATGTTCATGAACTGAGTATCATGTGCACACAACTGCAGAGACTTATTATTTGAGCCAGATAGAACCACAATATATGTTACATGTTGGTAATGAGTTAGTTGAAAAAATTGAGAAATAAAATGATCAAACCTTGGCTAGAACACTTGTAAAGATCACCAGGTTGACCATTCATAGTGTATGCATCAGATATATTTGGAGCAGCTCCTGTTTGTGTTGCTTGTCTCACAACATCAATAGGGTTTGCATCCCACCATTCCCCTGATTAATAATCATAACCATTATTATTTTCTCGCGAAAACGACACTGACACATTTTTAATAATTTAAAGAGTAAATAAATTGAGCATAAACATTTGTTCAGACGCGTCAGTGTTACCGAAAAGACAAATATGTAATCATCATTACCTAGAAGAATGGGTGTTTCGCGCTTTGGCTTAGTGAAAGGATAATCATCTCCTTCCTTTGGATAAATGATTAGAGCTCCATAAACTGTGGCTCTAAGCCATGAACTATGAGCATGCCACCAAAGTGTACCTTCTTGTCCTTGAATGGTAAATCTATAAGTGTAACTCTCCCCCGGACGAATAGGACATTGTGTCACAAATTCCGGCCCATCAGCCCACCCTGTTCTGATCTGTCTAACTCCATGCCTAAACACACAATAATCACATTTAAACATCATCGAACCAACCTCAATTATTAGTACAAGTGTGTGAAGAAAAAATATTAATAAAAAGTTTTTCTTGTGGATGAAGCAAAGTTTCTAATTTGTCCAAAAGAAAGTAAAATCTACTGATTAGTAGTCATAATAGCTTAATATTTTACCAGTGAATTGTGACATTATAACGAGCTTTGTTAACAACTTTAACAACCAAAGTATCTCCATTATTAACTTCCAATGTTGGACCAGGAAACTGTCCATTCACAGTTATACTCATATGAGTGTTGCACAGCCTCTTCACTGGAGTTTCTTGAACCTATCACAATAAAAATATCAATCAATTAATTAATCTCACAAAGAGTAAATGAAAGGAAGAAATGTTGAGAGCGTGCAAGACGGATTTTTACACAGTTTAAAATTTGACATATTTAAACTATAATTAAAAAAGACTACATAAAATATTTATCACGGTTAAACTGTGATATATATTTGATTTGTTATACTTAAACGGTGAATAACTTACACAATATCTCTAAAAACTTTAAGACAAACCTGAAAAGAATTGTATAAATAAAAGAAACAAAACTTACCAAGAACTCGTGCTCTTGAACTTTGGCATTAGCTAAAGAAACCAAGAGAAGAAAAAATACTAAGAACATGGTGTTGAGAGGTTTCATTATTTAGAATACTTAGTTAATTATCAATGTAATGAAGGTTGGAAATTGCAATGAGAGTAAGAGTGGGAGAGAATGGTTTTTATAGTGAAAATTAGTCTTAAAGGTTGGTGGATTAGGTTGTAATATACGGCTATAAGTTGCAAAATACATCGAGAAACTTAGTTCAACTCAATGAAAGTTGTTGCACCAGATGGTTAATTATTTGTTTTTTTTCAACAACGTTTGCTTCTATCTCAAGTCTTCATTTAGTTAGAAAGGTTGAATTTTCAAAAAGGGTGATTATTTTTAAACTTTTTAAAAAGGAGTAAGATGGGTTTAAACTTTTTCTCTTTCTTCTTTTCTATTTAAGTATGACATTTGATAGGGGCTAGCATAAAAATAATTAAGTACTATTTAAGATGAGGAAATTGAAATTCTTTAAGAAATTTACAATTTTAAGTAATATAAATTATTTAATGGAAATAAATTTATTTCCAAATTATTTTGTTTGTATAAATTATAAAACTTATTTATTGTTAAACTCTTTTGGATTTTTTAAATAAAATTTTGGATCAAATTTAAAGTTTAAAAATAGAGGTCAATTTTCAAATTTTGAAAATTTAAAGTGACTGATTTTTAAATTTATTAAGGACTGATTTGTAAATTTTGAGTATCATTTTTGAAATTTTGAGTATCATTTATTAGGAACAAATTTCTAAACTATCGATGCCAAAGAAAACTACCTTAGCTATCGAAATTTTTTGAGTATTGTTAGATTAGTGAGATACAATTTAAAGTTTTAAACGAATGGTATGAATATTTAGAAAAATTAATAAAATGGTTAAATAATTAGAAAGTGTGAGAAAATATATTAAATTTGGTAGGGTCCATTTATACTACAAACTTGGATTTAGTAGTTGTGCAAAACAAGTTTTGCAAAATAAGTTCAAACATGTTTCTCCATGGGAATTGTGTTTGTCAATACAACTAAGAATGTATTAGGCAAAATTACTTTACGAGTAGATTGTTTCTTGGATTGTAAATTATTTTTAGAAATATAGATTAAAATATTTTTCATAATGTTTGTTTTAAGTTTTAAGAAAATATATCTTAGAACATTATATTTTTAGAAATTTATTTTACACATGATTTTGTCACTTTCTATTTCTATATTATAGAGTGATTTCCATGAAAATAAGAACTAATCACATATAATTTCTCACTTTCAAATATTTTAATTTATATATTATTTATTTTAAAATTTAAATTAAATATATTTTATAAATATTTATAGGAATTTAAATTAGTCACTAAATATGTAGATGAGAATAAAATTCGCAATAATAATATTCTTAGGAATAACACACCTTAATGGTGATTAAAGTTTGAGTTTGTTTTTAGAATACTGATCTTTTAAGTTTTGTGTTCCTTTTTAAATTGATATTTGTGTAATATTTTGTTTGCAACATTTATCTTTAAACTATATTCAATTATATCGGTTTTTTCATTTTAAATTTAACCATTTTTAAATCAATGCCATAAGTGTTTAGGTTTCATTCCAACGACAAAATCAAGTTGACTCTTCAAACCTTTTTTTTCCCCTTCATGTGGAGGTGGTTAATGCCATTGATTGTGTCAATAGGTCTTTATTAGCAAGTTTTTGTATGGAGTTTGGATATATGGACCGAGGTCACCGGACAAAATCATTTAGGTAATTTCTTTGTATATTTTGCATGGGAAGAAAAAAATCTCTGAAATACTAAAAATATTTTTCAGAAATGTATCTCTGAACACACGCAAAATCAATGTATTTGAGAGATATATCTCCGAAAATACCAAAAAATATCAAATTTTAAGATGAATTCATAAATACATTTCCGAAATTCGAAAACACCTTATTTTTCTTGTTTCTCTTCTTTCTTACATTTAATTATTTATAAACTGCAATATATTTTATATATTTTTTAAAAGGTGTTTAATTTATTTGGTTATGGGTTTTATTTTGGCTTGATAGATCTAGTGATTGAGTTTGAGTTAAATAGTTGTTTTATTCTGTAGCATTTTACTTATAATAAGAATGATTTTCAATTCAACATTTATGTATTTCTTATCAATTAAAGATATTTGAATGAATAGTAGTTAGTAGTCAATTGTTACGTAATGTGAGAATTAAAATTAGTTTTGATCCTAATTATATTCGGTAATCGTTGTCCTGTTATCTAAAAACAGTGCTAGAAAAATGTTGGATTCGCCTAAAACTTGGATGTTTTTTTTTGGGTACCAAAAGTTTAATAATCATAATTCTATACAATTGGGTATCTTCGAAAATACATCTCCGAATTCACTCCATCTTTGAATTGGATGCAAAGATTCAGAGATCCGAAAATACCCTATTTTATTTAAAAAAACAAGGGATTGTTTCGGAAGTGTATTTTCGAATTCACCCAAAAAAAAGAAATTTCGAACTTTGGAAATACATTTCTGAAATCACCCCAGAAAAAAATTAAATTTCGTAACTTTGGAAATACATCTCCGAAACTATCTCAGAAAAAATAAATTATGGTGCGTTCAGAGATACATCTCCGAATTCAGGGGGTAAAAATGGAATTTCACCAGAGGTGGCTAAGAAGGTGTAAGGGTGGGGAATCCCAATCATTTAATATGCGGTCCACTGGACTTGTTTTTGTTTATTTTAATTTTTGGTCTGTACAAATTAGGTTATTTAGACCGCGAGTTATATAATAAGGGAAGTCTTCTTTCCACCCTTATGACTTCTCCCACACCATCGTAATAAAGAGGGCGTACATTTTCCACACACAACAGAAGTAAAAATTGTGGTAGACTCTTATTCTGTAAAAGATTGATTCAGATATGCACCTTGGTATGCACGAAAGGTTAATCTGGAGATGCATCTCTGAAATTCCCATTGGTTCATTAGTTAGTGAACTTTTCCGAGTTATATCTCCGAAGTTCTCTCTATTAGATCAAATCATAAGTAGACCGAAACAACAATGGCAGAACAAAATTGAAATAACTTAAATTAACTCCAAAATAAACATTACATATATAAACATTACATATATAAACATTACATATATAAACATTACATAAATTTAACATTGTGTGTTATTAAAAATAGGTAGTTCAGGACGTTGAGACATTCTTATAGTATCGTAGGCTGATCTTTGAACCATCGTGTTGTACCCCAAAATTTTCCCTCTCTTTTCTCAAGATATTTCTCACAAAGATCTTCAATGATTCAAGCTTGCACATTTATTTTTTTACGATATTAATGTAACTGCTCATGGTATCTAATAGTTTAATTAGGATTTTATTTTATCGTTTTACGGGTTTTTGGCTATGTAATTAATCCCCCTCCCCGAAGCCTTGTAATAGCGTAGTTTTACTTTTCGCATTTTAATTCTCGCAAATATTAACTGTTAGATGTATGATAATATGATTGCATGACAAGACTGTATGTTAATTTTAAAATGGTTAGCAAACCCTAAATGTGCAAAGATAATAACTGAAATCAAATCACTCGCACATGCGCACTCCTAGGGTATACTCTCACTTCGGTTGCCTTTGGTAAACGATCATTAAGTATAGGGTGTCTTAGTGGTTTCCCTCTTGTCTAAACAAAGATCAAACGTCTCGTTCGAAAATGTTGCCTCAGAAATGTTGCCTCGAAAAGGTTGCCTCGGAAATGTTGCCTCGAATATGATCTTAAGACATTAGGGTTATTACTAAGACGTCTTAACATTGCTTTAGTGATCGTACGTTCCTTTCAAATTGACCCTTACAACTCCAACGACGGTGCAACCTACTCATTAATAGTGGGATAACGCTATCTAAAGGAAACAAGAACAGAAACATTATTTTTTCAAGTAGGTAGATGCTAGTAGGTACTTGCTCAAAATAATCTTTTCCACACTTACACTCTTTTCAAACGAAGTTTTCAAAAATACTTCGTAACACTCTTGAGGACTGATACAAGGGTTAAAACAAAGTAAAACAAAAACTTTTCAAAACACACAAACACGATAGCAATTTTCAAAATGATGAGCAAGTACCTAAGAGCCCGTGGAAAACCACAGATAGAAAGGGTGTTAATACCTTCCCTTTCTATAATCTACCCCCCGTACTCAAAATCTCGAAAAAGGAATTTTTTCTGTGCTTTTTTCCTTTCCAGTTTGGATAAAATAAAAGTTGGTGGCGACTCTTGCTTACCGCGACATTTTACGAATAAAAAAACGCAAAATGCAAACCAGTAAAAATAGTCTGGTTCTGCCACCGTATCACAAAGTGCAAAATTGGAGAATTCGTGATTCTAAAGAAAATTAACTAAGATATTCATCAAGATCTCAAGCACTCTTCATTCATCATTCTCAAATATGTTTAACTTCTCCCATGATTCATTCAAATTCTATGAACCAAAATTCAAGTTGCAATTATTTGTTACAAGTTTGAATCCAAGATTTCAAAGAGAAGAGGTACAAGTTATGATTGAATTTCTAAATCATTACATTTGAAACTTACAAGTGTTTACCAAATTACAAAGATTACATATCATAAGAATTCAAAACAATTCTAAATCTAAAATCCAAAGTTTCTTGAATCGATCTTTTTGCCACGACAATTTCTTCAAGGAATCACCACCTTCTTCAAAGCATAAGCCATGGCTCTCATCTTGTCCACCAACATCATTCAACAACACATGAAAAAGAAAAGAAAGAAACTTGGTTAGAAAGATAATAAAAATATGAGCAAAGAAGGAATTTTCAAGAAAGGGAGCAAATATGAGCAAAATTTTGAAGACCAATTTTGATGAATTCCCCGCCTTGCTTCATTGTTGTTTCACCAGGCAAAAATAAGGAGAGTCTTCGGGCGATGAATTATGGTCGCTAGGCGATGACAAATATTTGTTTCAGTGGAGGACGTGGCGCAGTCTGGGCCAAGTATATAGAAGCTATCTCCGGGCGACGCTTTTATATCGTCGGGCGATGATTGTAAATTAAATT